GTCTGGTCGGATTCATAGTGATCCCCTGTACAACAGAATGAAACGTTGCTCCATCCTCTGTCACTTCACAATTGTTCTCTTGCTTGAATTCATTGTTTTGGCCAGCGTGTCTGTCAATCCATCTCCTTGAGGCTCTTTCTCATTTTTTCATGACCCTCGATTTACAAAACATGTCTTACTTCAGGGACTTACTTACCTCCTGATAAAATGTCTAAAGTGCGGGAGATAAAATCTCCCTGGCCTTTCTTCTTGGGAGCAATCTAGTGAAGCTATCATTTTTCCAAGAACTATTATCCCTGCCTTATTGTGACTTTTGTTCAGTATCAGCCGTGGGTTCACTTAGGCCCCTATTTACAACAGATGGGAGCATTACTCTGCCCTTTGTGATCCTCACAGTGGCTGTTGGTACATTCTGAACCCATCATTGCAGTCACTGGGTCAGTCTGTGTCTTCCTCTTTGTCGGTGACCTTCGTTACCAAGCATGATGTCCTCTTCCACTGACTGGTCTCTCCTGATAACACATCCAAGTACATGAAAGGAAGCCATGCCGTCCTTGCATCTGAGGAACATTCTGGGTGCACTTTTCCCAGGCATATTTGTTTGTTCTTATGGCAGGCCAAGATACTTGCAACATGCTTGCATTATAATTCAAAAGCATCAATTCATCTTCAGCTTTTATTATTCATTTTCCAGCATTCTCGTGTGGTACCCCTTAGTCCTCAATGTATCACCCTTGTTCTTTAACACTTCAGAGATGCCTGGTGAAGCAGATGTGCTCAAAGCAATGTGCCATTTGCTTTCTTGTATGATGCTTCTGTCAGTCTTGGTTATGGATCCAAGCAGGATGAAATCCTTAACAATTTCAGTCTTTTCTGTTTATCATGATATTGCCTATATGTCAAGTTCTGTGAACTTGGGTGTTCTTTACATTTAATTATAGTCCATACTGAACTCCGTAGTCCTTGATCTTCATAGTAAGGGCTTGAGGTCTTCCTTACTTTCAGCAAGCAGTGTGTGTCATCTGTATATTTTAGGTTTTTAAAATAAGCCTTCTTCCAATTCTAAGTCTTCTTCACTGTAAAGCTATCCGTTTATAGAATAGCTATACAGTTATTTAAATTTTAAACCAGGATTCTCGAGTTCATTTCAAATAAGCATATAATTTTCACAGACATATCTAAAGTTATATAACCCTGAGTACTGCATGTCCAAATATAAAGAATGTCCCTGAGTAAAGTCAATGGTTAAGATTTTCTATTTCCCTGAAAATCAAAGACCAATTCAACCCCCATCCCCACCCCTCTGAGGCACCTTGGAAGAAAGATCAGAAGATCTGCTTGCCCTTGAACTTCTGTGCACTGTGCGACTTGGAATCTCTGACATTAACTAAATGGCAACTGGTTGGGCATTTTAGGGAAACTACAGTGGAAGAACGAATCAATGCTGGTGTAGCAAAATATGTTTATTATGTCTTAAATACATGAACATGAAAACACCTTTGGTATTTTAGCTGAAATCCTGCCCAATATATTCACACTGAAAACACTGTTTTTTTGTTTTTGTTTTCGATTCACATTTAGCTAATGTCTTTTCAGCAGGATTTACATTGTTGTCTATGATTCCTTTTCCAAGCTCCCC